ACTGCGAATTGCAAACTGCAAACTGCAAAACGAAACCAAACCAAACGAAACGCACTCTGTGTGTGTGCGAGTGTGTGTGTGTGCAACAATTTATGACCAACATTCAACAGCGGCGAAAGCGAAGAAGAAAAAAAAACACAAACTGAATTGTTTGCGGCAGCATAAAAAGTAGCCAAACAGATGGGCGACGGAGGCGGGGCAACTGGCAACTGGCAACTTGGTTGCTGCATTTCTTTGCATAAATTGCAACATTTTGTGGCAACGAGCTTGAAGTCGCTGCTGCCGCTGCTTAGGCAATTTGTCATTGCAACTAACAGTTCCGTATAAAGATATCCAGATACGAATGTAAATCAGGCCAGTGTTAGAGCAATAAGCAGGTTAAAGAGCCAGCTTAGACTTTGATTGGCCAAAAATAAGTTTTAAGCTTAGAGACGACAGTAAGGTATGGAGGCAAACCTCGGGGCAATTCAAAAGTCCAGATTTATGTTGGGAGTTAAGAAGGTAACAGAGGCCAGCTTAAGCATAGTTTTCGTTCAGTGCAAGATTTACAAGTTCTGAAGAATCACTCAAGAAGTGCGAAAGTATTTCCACACGCCCCGGCAATTGAGTAGAACGAGTTGAGGCGTAAATATGCTGCTGCCACACTGAGATTACCCCATAGCCCCCGAAATGCATTTACGCCAACTCAACTGATGCAAATCTAATTCTCGAATGTCTCTCGCACAACCAAACACACACTCAGACACATTGAGAGAGAGAGAGAAGGGCGCAGTGGAAAATATAAACCTCTCAAGTGCAAAAACCATTCAAAAACTAAGCTAAATTTATTTAAGGAACAGCCAGGCAAAAACGACTGCTGCTGCTGCAACCGGAATATTTTTTCCACTTGGTTTTCCTTTTTTTCAGTTCGGTGTGTAGAATGCAGAAGCTCCTGCACATTTCACTTAACAGAAATAAAAACTGAAAAGAAAAGCCAACGCAAATGCGAGCAAAGCCCAAACTGAACTGAACTGAACTCTATGGTGATAAAGAAAAGAGAGGGAAAAGTCTAAGCAAGTTAGTTTTGAAGCTAGGTAGATCCTTTAGTAACCTGAAATGTATATAAAAATATTTCTCACTAAATTTATCTTTAAGATTTTACACTTTAAATAAGCCAAAAGATACTTTCAATCTGTAAAAATAAATGAAATGAATATTATATAAAAGTAAAAGTTACCTTCAGCAAGTTAAAATTTGAATTCATATCTTGTAGATAAAAAACTTTATAGTTTATCCTTTTTCCGCATTATTATCACAATCCTTATAGCCAAACGAATACTCCCAAAACCAGTGTAGCCCAAAAGAAGTGCGGAAAACCCTATGCAAAGGCAGCAGAGCAGAGGAAAAGCAGCCAACAAATGTCGCCAGCAAAGAGCAAAGAAGTGGGAATGCGGCAGTCGGGGATATATATCTAGAGTGTTGGTTTGGGAAATTGCAGGAATGAAATTCAGGTGGCGGCAGCGGCTGGAAAACACTCGGGAAATACGTTGACTGGGTTTGCGTCTCGCGTCGTTCGGCTCTTTCGACCAGATCCTGATGGTGGTGGGGTGGTTCCACTATAAACGTGGTGGCAGCCAGCGACGACGACGTGTGCATGCAAGGTGCTCGTATAATGCGTTGTGCGTGTTAAAAGATAGTTTTGCCCAGCTCAACGCGAGGCCAAAATCCAGCAAGTTTCAGTGGCAGCAACAACACCAGAAGAGGCAGTTGGAATGGAATGGAAACTCAAACCCAACCACATAGCCCAGCGACAGGTAGTTTTACACATTGAAAAATCCCAAACACCGTGACACGATTCGTTTTTGTCCGGGTGTGTTTTTTTTCTGCAGGGTTTTGTAAAGCTCTGCTCCCGTTTTTAGTGGCTACTGTGTGTGTGCGGTGCATAGTGCTGTGTGTATATATGCACAGGGATGGCTCCCTAATGTAATGGGTCTGGGGATCAAGGCAACGCGAGACAAATGCACAAAGCCCCTTTCCGCTTTCCACACCCCTTTGTTTGTTCAAAACTCAGAACTCAGCAGCCAGCAGCCAGCTGCAGCGGCTCTCGGCAGCATTGGCATTGGGATCTTTTCAATATCTGCTGCTCTGGCATAAAAAACGAGCAGTGCTAAGGGGATTTCTTGGCATTTGGCTGCGATTTGTTTAGAAGGGGGAAAGAGGGGAGAAGGTCATCAAATGGCCTCTAAAGGATTGCCGGTGTTTCAGTCACAGTTTTAATGGAAATTGTGGAAAAGTGTTGTAGTCTTTTCGATTGGTAATAGTTTAAAATAGAAGAAGAAGCTATTAAAACTGTCAAATCAGAAAGAGTGAAAGTTTTCTAAAAATGATTTATGTTTGATAAAAGCAAAAGTTAACCATGGAAAACCTTTGGTTTTCAAAGAATGATAATTTATTGTGGCTGCCCCATCTCTGGGCAATTGTAGTACCATTTCTGCTTTCCACTGAAGTTGGTGTTGTCCCACAATTGTTAAACCAACACGGACCAGGGATCTTTTGTTTTTTAGGTCTCTTTTTCTCTCCACGTTGCGCGTGCTTCTTGTCCATATTGCCCTTAACCCCAGAGTGCCCAATGAAACGCATGTGTTGGTTGTTTGGTAGGTCTTTGGCCCTTTTTTCCTCACTCGGAGTTTCCCTCTTTCGATGTTCAAGTTCCTAGACAAATATTATTGTTTCCAACACGCCGTTATTGCATATTTGCCTTATATATATATATATATAGTATATCTGAACGAAGATATTTTTTCAAAGTGTGAATGAAATTAATGCGTTGCACGGTTTCGTGTCTCGGGTAAGGAATTTTCATCTCTTTTTTTCCCGATTTTCCCATACAATTTTTGGTATACTCTGTTTTTGTTTGTTCTCCGCTTCGGTTTTCCTTTTTCTCTCCCCTTTTTTTCTATTTTCACACAGACTAAACGTTATTAAATGCAGGCAAATGCCTCGTCCTCGTCGCTCGTCGGTCCAATGGTATTTGTAGTGTTGTCTTAGTCGCTGTCGTTGTTTTTATGTTGTTGTTTTTGGTGGCTCTGTTGTTGTTGTTGTTGTATAGTGTTCTGTAGTCGCATAAAGGGCAAAGTTCCCCTGATGATATATATATATGAAATATTTTCCTTTCCTTTTTTGCACCAGCTTTGAGTGTTTATTTTTTGTGTTGCCTACATTTTTGGGTGTTGCCAAAATCAGCGATGGTACAGTGGATTGAAAGTTTGGGAATTTGTTAACAATTTCGAAGGCAAAAAGGTGTTTTTTAAGGTAATGGAATTTACCCAAAGTAATAGAATGAAGAACTAATCTATCTATCTCAAAGATAAACAAAAGTAATAACTTAGAATCCAAGCTTTTTGAGGGAAAATACAATGCTAAATCGAATATTTATTTCTTTAGTGTATTTCCTAAGCTGCCTCTTCAAAGAATTTCCTACCAACTTCCCCAGCACAAGCTCCAATTAATTGGCTCAATTTATATGAAATTCGTTCACTCACTTAGGTTCAATTTCATGGCTTCAAACTTTAAGTATTTTCTACACACTCGGATGAAACTTTTTCATGGAATAGAAAAAAACTTGAAAACTTTTGTGTTGTGGCCAAAATTAGCCTTAACTGATTTATGTTCTTTAAAGACTTTAGTTGGCCATCTCCCCCTAGCAAACGATATATAGCCATGGTTGGGTAATCCCAATGAATAACGCCAGACACCTGTTCATTTCATGCATCATTGGGCGGGTGTCTCTCTCTCTCTCTTTTGGGCACCAAAAGTGCTGAGTAATGTCATTGGCTGGTTTTCAACACCTGTTACCAGCTGGTTAGGTTGGTTTGGGGCCCACTGTACCTGGCTTTAGTCCCTAATGCTAAGTAGCTTTAATGCTGCCGCATCGTTGGGCTCGTTAAGCGGGAGTGGGAGCAGGGGCGCAGGGGTGGTGGGCGTGGTAGCACACAAACGGCGGTGGCTAAAGAAAAAAAAATGCCGCCCTAAATGCTACTAATTAATGAGGATTTAGTGAAAACTGTTTTCGGTTTGGTTGCCATAAAAAAAAAAAGAAAAACGAAAAACGAAATTCCATTGCAACGCCGCCCTCGCATTTCGCTTTTTTCGTATTTGTAATGCAGTTTTGGGGCGTTTCCATTTTCCCCTGAAATGTTCTGTGTTCGCTGGTATTAGCATATAAATAGCGTTTTAAATATTTCTAGGCGCACATAATTCTAGGTATTTAGGTATTTTCCACCCTCCACCCCCAACCACCACAAAGATATATTACCGCCGTTTTATTTGTTAAGTATTTCTCTCTCTCTGGGCATGGCCTGGCGTGGCCATGAATTTGGTGTGTTTGCGTCCGGGGTTCGCGTGTGCCAGGACCCTAGGTCTTGGATTGTGTAAACAGGAAGCGATCCTAGGCACATACACTCACTCCTTGAAAAGAAAGAGAAAAAACGAAAATCTAGACCCACTCCAAAGGCATTTAACGCCCAACTGGCAAACGGCAAACAACAAATGTAATCAATGAAATTTTATGTGCAACAGAAACGCACTCCAGATTTTCGAGAATATCCTCCTTCTGGTCTTGTGTGGCGTGTTTAGGCCCGCTCTTTATGCTTTTATAACTTTATTTAGCCGGGCCAAACAGTTCACTTCAGATACAAATTACAATTGCGGCGCGTAAGGAAATTAAAAAAGGATTTCCATGTCTAGCGGGAAGGTCCCTTTCAGCTTGTGTATACAGTAGGGGGCAAGATAATAAGACACAGTACTAGGAAGAGTTATAAAATATATAAAGATTTGGTATTTGAGCTAAGAAAAGGTTTTTTTTAAGATATTTTACTAAGTTTTAGTTCTAAAAAAAATATTATATGACAAGCATTTTAATGCCTTCTTCTATTATTTTGGTCACATCTGTGTTTTTTATTTAGCAATTTATTCCATCCTTTGCTAATGCAAATATTTTACCTTGCTCTCTTTTTCTACAGACAAGTCCGTTTCGCTTCTGCTGCCGGAGTCCTTCGTCGTCCTGTCGTGCGTCCCTTGCTCTGCTAATTGCCTTGTGTGTGCCGAGCTCCTGGCTTCTCCTCGCTAAGCAGGCCAGAGATCCTTTCCACACTCCAGGCTCAAGGTTGGTATTATACCCCAGTTTATATACATTGTAATATGTATTTTCCCCTTTTTTTTCCTTTTTTGTTTTTGGTTTTCCTCCTGTCGAGGCGGGTTTAGCAATTGGTTTTATTTTTGGGGTTTAATTGCAAGGCTTTGGACAGATTTTAATTACTGACAGCAGCGGGCAAAAGTTGTGTGAAAGGTCATTGGGAATGTTATCCAAACAGAGGAATATTCAAATTGAAATTAAGCTAAAAATATATCAAGGGGAAGTCGAGGGAGGAAAAGGTTAAATAAGTATTTGATAATGAAAATCGCCGGAGCTTGACCTTTTCCTTTCAGTGTTTGGTAATAATGAAAATTAGAGAAGCAATTTAAAAGTTTGAGGAAGGATTTAATGCAGTCTTAATTACATTTATACTGTCAAGTTGGGTTGACAAATGGGAAATGAAGTGGCTTTTATATGCAAATAAATTAAATTGAAGATAAAAAATCTATCTAAACGGGATTTAACATTGCTAAATAGCTTAGTTATAGGCCTAAAAACCATCTTAAAAACCAGTCACATATAAATCAATCCATCTTAAGTGCAACTCAATAGAAGAACTTTATCGGGAAAAGTTTCCCAGCAATTGCATTGGCTGCCTGGCAGATCAAAACCCATCTAAACAATGAAACATAGAAACAACATTAGCATTTGTTAATCAAAGTGTAATTCTGCAATTGCTACGTAAGAGATTCCCGAGCGAAGTTGTGCCGTTTTCTTGGCTAAAACTGCCAACTGAAAAGCCATAAAAACCTCCAGCCAACCGAAATAAAGTGAGACACTCAGCACACAGGCACAGAGAACCCGAAAAGGAAACTTTCTTAGCCACTCGAAGAGCGACAAACACAAATCACTTTAAACTGTAAGGACAAACTTGGCTGGGCGGGGGGATTTCTGATTTCCCAACCCAACGATTCTCCCCATCCCCATCTCCCATGAAACTCACCTGCGAGAGACTCTTGGCTCTAGCTTCTTGGCCCAAGCTATTAAATCTTGCCACTTGTTCAACGAAATCGTATATCTGTAAGATATACAATCACTTAAATCGTTGAGCGGCTAATCCAGCCGCAGACTGGAGTTTATCATACATCACAGGGAAAACTTCCGAATGACAAAAAGAAAGGAAAGGGAAAAGCGAATTGCTCGCATTTCAAATGCCAAATATCAGTTTACAGGGGGAGTTCGGCGGAGAACAAATCAATAATCCCCCGAATAGAAAAACCCCACGAAAAAATCAACACAAAACCCAGAAGGCATATCAAATTTTTTTTTCTACTTCTTCCTTTCTTGATTGACGTCTTTTTGGTTTTGAAGGGAGGGGAAGTGGGCGGCGGCGGTTAGAAGGTTGTCTGAGCTGGGAGCTCTTTTGAGGAGTTTCCTTTCTTTCTTTCATTCTTTCACTGATTTCTGCTTTTACTTTCGATTTGGCTTTTGTATTTTGGGTATTTGCGCTGATTAGCACAAAGGAGGAGGGTGGCCAAAAGTAATACACTGAGAATAAATTTGCATAAAATTTGAATTTAAAAAAAACTAAAATCAAAAATCTAAAACATTTCCTTGAGAAGAAAGTTTAGGGAGATGAAAGGGCTTTTTCTTTAAAGAATTTTAAAGTTAAATTTTCAGGATTTCATTTTTTTGTTAAGTGCCTATTGGGAATTGCAGGGCGAGTCCTGTGCAAACGGAAAAGAAATCAAATGTTGTCATCATTGCCGGCGTCGCTCTAATCTCTGGAGCATGTTAATAACCCAAAGGGCCAGAGCCACGCCTTCTATACCCCAAACCCCAAAACCTTCCCCTTGATCAGTGCTGTGTCCATGTAATTTCATGCAAATATCGCATTATACGACTGGCGATGGAGGACGGACTGTACGTGTTGTGGGTATGGAAACGGTCTCTGACAATGTCGCACACAATATAATCATAACAACTTCTGGTAGGACGGGGGTGAATAGTACAACTGCCCAGGGGGTGGACTTGTAATATTTGTCAATAGCCAGCCGTTGTGCCGACGACAATTGACATGGAAAAGCAAGCAAGCCAAGAGGCAGGCAGGCAGGGAAGTGGAAGTGGAAGTGAAACTCCGAGAAGGAATCTCCTAAAAGAAAAGTGGAACGGACAGCGGCGTGAAAGCAGGCCATAAATAAGCAAATAAAATGTAATAACTAAGTGAAAATGTGGAAAATCGCTGTCGAAGGGGGGGCCCGTACGCTTAAATGGTTTAGATAACAATGAGGTGGATTAGAATGAGTTGGTAAGGATTTAAAGAGGTTAAAATGTTGAGATTCTATAGGTATTTTGGCCAAGTTACAGTAACATTCCGTATTAATGCATATTGATTACCAAAATAACTAAAATAGTTACCAAAGCTTAGTTCAAATTCATTTCACTATAAATCATTTATCATTCATTGAGTTAATCACAAAAGTGAATAGAGATATTTCTGCAGAAATCTATGCACATGCATAGAATATGGCCAAAATCAGCTAACCGTTACCAGCTCTCTCTCTATCAAATTCGCACACGTGCCGAGCTGTGAGCTCTTAACTGGGATCTTTTATTCATGGCACCCGAAATCTATTTTGACTTGAGCTGCTTAAGTGAGCTTCTTTCTCTGCTGCTGTTCACCCAGCTAGTTAGCTATGCATTTTGCCACGCCCACAGAACGAACTACTTAGCAGCTGCAATGGTAATGTTGCACGGAAAGAAAATGTAAGAAAGTTTAAGAAGTTTATCAAAAAAATTTAGAATTTTAGGTATTTTTGATTTGATTTCGAAACGAGAAACTTTTCCTTTTTGACAGTGACGGAAAACCTTTTCCAACTTTAATAGTAACCCTTTATTTTTTTCTTGTGCATCATTTGAGCTGCACATATTCGACTATCTGCCCCCAACATTCTGCCACACACACATTTTGCTGCCCCTCTATTCGGTATTCGGAATTCTCCGCCCTGATAAGTTGCAATGCATTTCTTGGCATTTCTCTCTCTGGGCTGTCAGCTATCTGCAAAGCGCCATGCTGCCAACTAAACAATGAAGAACTAATCCACGGAGTATACAAAAGAATGGCTATAAAACGGTTCGTGTGGGTGGAACAAAAAAAGTAGAAAAAAGTTGTAGAGTGGGGAGTGGGGGCCCCTCATATAGGTGGGATTGTGTTTGTGTAAGGCCACTTTATGGCTGCCCTTTTGCAACAATTGTGCAGCGCTGCATTCAATCAACAAACTTTTAAAGCGCAGTTACAAAACTCAAACAAACTGAAGAAGTACGGGGAGAGAGAGAGCAAGGAGGAGGAGGAGGAAAGAAAATAAGGAAAACATGGGGGAAAAGATACGTGATGGTCAGGGAAATTGCACAACAGCAGCAGCGTTTAATTATGACAATCAATACCTACACACACTGGGGCATTTTACTCACACAGATAGTTCAATATATACAGTTAAACCTCTATAAAAAGAACTTTAAAAGGTTGCCTCTTTATAATAAGAATAAGTTGGGTAAATATTTCATCATTTAGAAAACTTAAAATCGCTTATCTAGAAAATCTCTTTAGAATTTCTACAACTTTTGTTATTTACCGTACAGTTAGTAACTTAATCCCATGTTCCACTGTACCAGAAACACACACATATGGCTGATTTTATTGCTGATGTGCTCTCATTGCTCATCTGCGCTGCCCAGGGACCTAGGACTAGTGCAAATAAAACTTGATTAAATTCCATTGGCGGTTCCAATTTCGCACGGGTTGAGCTTTGGGGGTCGTCCAGTGGTATGGAATTGACCGGGAGAATCTCTAGAGATAGTACTGTGTTGGCCATGACGATGAAGACCAAGGAGCCGGAGCAGTGGATCTGAGCTGGCATATTACAACAATCAAACATAACCTAATTAGATGGACGTTGGCTTCATTGTGGTTGTTGTTTGTTCTTAGGAAAACAAGCGAGTTTGTGGTGGGTTATGCTGTGAATAAAGGGTTAAAGGAAGGTTATATAAGCAAGTAACAGAGTTTAGATATTCATTTAAAAAAGATGCTAATAAGAGATGGAAAAGAGCAATTTCTGGAAATTATTTAACATTAAATGCAAGGCAGAATTTCCATCTAAATTATTTGTCAAGTTTACCAACGTTCAGTATCATTTGGTCATCAATTAAATATAAATTCTTTCTAGTTAATTAAATCCTAATTACTGCTTCTAACTAGCAGATATTAAATAATAATTACTGTCCCCTAACGTGAAGGAATATCATGTATCACAAAAGCCAGGCGAAGGCCTCTTGAAAGGGCGGCCTGATTATTGCTGTTGCATTGTTGCGGACTTCGTTGGTGGTGGTCTTAATGGCATGGCATGGAGTACTTCGTATATCTTTGGGTATATCATTATCTCTTTCTATGTCTCGATAGATATCTCTGTCTGTTTTTGGGATACCATCTCTGACTGCGGGTTTTTGCTGTGTTTGCAATGCCTTCAATTAACATCTATGCTACGCACTTTCTTTGACCAAATACATAGGCACACAGACACACACCCACACACACACACGCAATAGGGATAAGAGGTAATTTCATTAGTGATGGGAGAGTAACGATATATATCGTATGAATATTAAACATTTTCATTTTAAGAAATTTTAACATGCTTTAAGGCTTTGCCTTCCAAATCAAAGCTTGCCACTCGCAAACGATTAATATCTCCCTCACGCACGCATCTCACACATGGCCTGCATTAATGTGTGTGTGTGTGTGTGTTTCTGTCTATATATGTGTATCGCTACGATAGAGAGTCTCATGTGAAGTGGCGACAATCAAACACACACTCAAAGATTAATCCTGACACTCACTTGCAAACTAATTACATGGCTCTTAGGCAACGCCCCATGCCACCACCCAAACTACACCACCCCTTGGGGGCTGTGAAGAGCAACCTCATAATAAGGTCGCCTCTGCTGCAAATAAACATCGATTGAATGCAACATTT